TGCTTATTTATATATGGAAATTTTTCTCATGCATGCAACATAACTCTCGTATGCAATTGACTGGTTGCTAATTCAAAATTGAATTATTATTTGTTCCATAAATCTTATATCAATCTCGGAAGGATTGCTATTATCAACAAATTATGATAATCATCTTTTGACTAAATTTAAGATGTCAAAATGACAAATCCCTCTCCGACTATGGCTTAGTGCAATTCTGTGTTGTTTAAGGAGTGGTATACTCTTTTATAAGAATGATCTTTGACTTATGCCATACATGATATGATTGATTTAGATGTTATTGGTTTGGAAGATAGAATGGATCATATCATATCAATTTGCCTGAAGCAAACGAAGGACTAAATTATTTCATATTAGTTTGCCCGAAGCAAATGAGGGAATGAAATATATCATGTGAATTTGCACGAAGCAATTCCCAAACCAGTGAGTGAACTAATGTAAAGTTGAGGATAAAGATTTTTGGGAGATCTTGAAGATATATTTTATTTGACAAGCTTCACAGCTTCCCTATGATTGTTGTGTACCCTTATAATATCATTTGATATGTATGCCTTCATATCTGATTATATATTTTCTTGTTGGGGACATCAGTTTTAATTTATATGCTATTGTGGTTATCACAATCTCACCTACTGCATATCATAATTATTCCCCTAGAACCTAGTACGTGGTATAAAACCAAACATTTCCCATCTGCATTTTATTCACAGTGTGCAGTCTTTTTACTATATCACCACCATAGCGTACCTTTGTGGGCATGTATATGTTGATTATAATCCTCCGTCTGTTATTTAAATCTTTAGAGCCCATGATAAGGGATCAATATATAATTATGTACGCTGACTGCACACTTTATGAAGATCATTTTACGGCATTAGGGGGAGATAAGAGCTCAAATTTTATAGAATGCCGAGAAATTCTATGAATGATTGATCTTCAATATTTTGAATCCACGTACTAGGTAGACTGAACTAGAAGTTCATAAGAAGTAAACTGAACTGGAAGTTCAGAAGATAATTAATCTGCCAATATATATACTGATAAAAAGAGTGACTAGGTCTCATGTATCTTCCCAAACTTGGACCGTATGTATTTACCAATGCTCCTTGACGCCAGAAGCGTGGAGACATGTTGGTATAAAAGACAAGAATCCGTGGAAAACTAAAGCTAGTAGAAAATTTCGTCACTCTTGAAATCGCTTAAAGAAGTATGTCCTGCAGATATTCGTCCAGAGGACATTCGTCCGGAAGGCGAAAAACCCCAGTAAAATTATAGGTGCACCCAAAATCATAATACTGGGGATGCGGAACGACCAGATAAAAATATCTTTGGGAAATGGCTAGAGTCTGGTTGAATTAGAAATTGTCATTATTTTATATATATGGGAGAGATTTATGAAAAATGTTATAGTTGTCGACAACAGAATTGCCTTTACAAATTATTCTCGTTATATGATAATCTGGATCCAGAGCTAGGCACCAGCTGTGCCTTGGTATTTTTTATGTATAACGGAGCAATTAAGGCATGTACAGCTCAGCTCGCTAAAACTGTATTCTCTTTATAACACGTACACCATTTAATGTTAACCCTGTAGGTTACAAATGGGTGTTTGTACGAAAGAGAAATGCAAACAATATGGTGGTATAATATAAAGCGAGACTGGTAGCTTAAGGGTTTACGCAGAGACCCTGAATTAATTTTGATCAAATATTCTCTCCCACAACATATGGCATTACGTTCCGCAAATTAACATTATTGGCAGTGAATTATGAATTTAGATATGCAGTTGATGAACGTCATGACCGTAATTTACTGGTCATTAGACGCTAATATTTATTTGTAAATCCCCGATGGATTCAACACTTTTGAAATGTGGAAAGTGAAAATCTCAACGTGTATCATTAAACTACTAAAGTCTTTGTATGACTTGAATATTATTGACTGAGTGTTTTCCTCCCGAAGAAGGAATGTATAAATAATATGTACCATTATGTGTTCGCTAAAGAATTGCTAATGGAGTTATTTATTTAATATCTTAGTCGATATTGACGGTTTAAATATCATTGAAACACATAGAGAGCTTGGTGATATTAGCTCATGCCGAAAGATGGAGTTTTAAAATAAAAGACTTGGAAATCCAAGTATTGTCTCGACCTGAAGATCGAGCTTCTCCTTGAAGAAGTTTTATACACCAGTTAGCCTACTTGAAAAATATCTTGAAGATGTTTTATATAGACAAGTATTATTTACTTATCACACAAACGGTTATCCAATAATCTCTTGAAGTAGATAAATGACCATTTAGACTCGAAGGTTATAATGAGGATATTTAGGGACTGGAAGTCCATTACTTCATTGCTATGGATCACTATTATTGAACTAGAAGTTCCATAATCGCATCAGGCCTGATATTGAATTTGCGATGAAATTGCTAGCAAGATTTAGTGCTTCTCCCTACAATGAAAATTGGAATGGTATTTAACATATCCTCCAACACCTTCGAGGTACAAAGATTTTGACGTTTATGTGAGAAACCAATATGTGGTTTTGATGGGCAACTTCGGCATTAGCTCTTTTATTTTATCCCTATGATGCCAAGTTCAAAACTGGTTATGTTATATTTTTACCCCCAATGTCCCATATGAGGACAAATAAGATTGTGTTGCACAAGCAAGTAATAATTTTGTTAAGGGGAACCTTACAAAACATGTTGCACCTAAATCCTTCTACACACATGAACTCTAGAAGAGTTGTAAAATTCTTATTGAGAATGTTTTCCCCACTGAACAATCTTGCAGATATGTTCACTAAGTCTTTGCCTACATCCACTTTTGAGTAATATGTTCATAAAATTGGGATGCGTGGGCTTAGAAGATTGTTATCTTCAGGGGGAGCGACAACGCCTAGCTGTGCTAGAATGGACAATCTAGAGGACTTTTGATATCCTGAATATTATGCTAGAAAGCATATGGTTGTACTCTTTTTCCCTTAGCTAAGTTTTTCCCACAGGGTTTTCTTAAGCTAAGGTTTTTAATGAGGCAACCGATGTTGGTGCACTTGAGTGGATAGTCTTGAAGACTCTTGAAATCTTGAAGATTATGCCCAGAAGGCTTAGGTTTGTACTCTTTTCCTTGGCTAAGTTTTTTTCCCACTGGGTTTTCTTAGGCTAAGGTTTTTAATGAGGCAACCGGTGCAACACATGGATCAACATACTTCGTGTACTCTTTTCCTCGTCTAGATTTTTCCCACTGGGTTTATCTAGCGAGGTTTTTAACGAGGCATGAGTATAGTTTGATAATGGCCAAGGGGGAGTGTTATAAATATTATTATTATGGCCATTATCACAAGACCTTTCATTTGCCTTATATTTATTCCATTATTTATGTTATAGAAAATGAAGGGTTATATGGATGTATATATATACATGTTCAAGGCATAATGAAAGAGAGAACTTGTGTTCTTGAGTTCTACATTCTTGTGTTATATTTTTCTCTCTACTCCTCCATTCCATATTGCAATATTCTTCATATATACAATCGATGCGTTACCGTACAACTATCACGCGAGAACTAACAAGTTGATAGGCCGAATTACAACAATATATACTATAATAATAACAATGTATACTCATTAAAATAAATAGCCTTTCAAATAGAATTCGATCGAGATTAGTTCATAACTAATGGATTCAAATAAAAATATTAATAGACGATTTTCAAAAAAATTAAAAAATTAAAACTTAAACCTTGAAAATACAAAACTAACTCGCATGGTGTGTTGTCAAGTGCCTCGATGGCTGGCTGGGCTGCGCTGCGTTAACTTTTTGGCATTTGGTGGAAATGGAGATTCCTTCAACGATGATTGAGATTGTTGGATCGCAGCTAATCAAATGCGGAGTTCACACTCCATACAGCTTCGTGATTGACATTATATTTATTCCTTTATAAAATTCAATTCAATTCATAAAACTATGACTTTTTCTGTATCTAGCACACAAACCACCACATGCTCCATTCTCCAGAATCTATTTTTTCTTCCCATTTCATTCCTATATATCAACCTTACCGTTATTCTATTCCCTCGCTATTTGCTTGCTAGCTTGGATGATTTGTATGGACTCCGCCATTTGCGCCGATTATAAACCTTGTTTTGTATGTATATTATGTGTTAGTCATTTTCAAATGTTAACTTTGTATGATTAATTGGCATTAACCAAACAAGGTCTATAACACAAATATAGCTGGATAAGATTTCAGGGATCTTAATAAAAATTTTAAAACTGATTATGTTGAAGTGAAAATAGATTTAAATGTTACAAGAGGATGATTGCAAATGGGAAGCTGATTTCCAATCATGGAAATTTGTCAAAACTTAGCCAATTAGGATACTTTGTAGAAAATAGCATTTTTGACTACTTTAAAACTTTGAAAAATCTTTTATTGTTATCACCAATAACCCACCCATTCAAAGTGGCTACAAAACTTAGTCGGTTAAATATTGAATGTGTTTCTCTATTTATAATCACATATAATTGTCAAAAAATTTTTACTATCATTTTTTAGTAGTTGAAAATTCTGATAACTTTTGTATCGGTGATCAAAAGTTATTGACCACCGATTAATTTGACTAGAAATACAAACTGTCTTTGATTTATGATTGTCAAATTTTATTTTTGAGCGGACGGAAAAGACAAGATTTTTCAACCTTAGATAAGGAGATAAAAATCTGAAAGTTAATATTAAGAGAAGAATATAACATATCTTTATTTTTGAAAAAAAAAAAAACTATTTTAAAACAAAATTACCAAATCTATATTTCTGGAATTGGGCTAGACACTGGGCTTTCGATGTCAATTGGGCCAACAAGACTATTGGGTACCTCATTAGGAACGAGGTGTGGGCTTAAAGCCCATTGTGTGTTGCGCGCGCCCCCAACGAATCTGGAATATCGAAAAGTTACCCGTACTTAGCTGAGTGCTTTTTGCTCGCAGCATCGATCTAGTTTCACATTTCAATTTTTCCAGTTTTTCTTTGCATACTAGTCCGTTTGATCGGTCAATCGTGCTTCTAGATTGGCGGCAGCGGCGGCTGTTATCGGCTTTTGGTTGTTGGTCTGTGCTGATCCTCCCTCATTCAGCCATTTTTTTTTTCTTTGACGTTTGTCTTTGTCGATCGATCTTGCTGATACTTTTTTTGACGCGGACGGGAGTACAGGGAAATACAAATGGCTATGCTAATAGCTGCTCGTCGAGTAACAGGTGGATCGACGAGGTCCGTTTCTTCAGAGTCGCTGCGTTATACGACGTGCTGGAGATATTTCTCTACTTCCTTCCGGGAGGAGAGAGATACTTTCGGCCCCATTCAAGTCCCCTCCGACAAGTTTGTGTTCTTCTCCTTGATGCTTTTAAGTTTGTTAGTTGTTACGGAGTATTATTATTATGTTTTCTGCGTTGCTTTTTGGTTGTGATTGTTAATTAGTCGTTTTACTCTTTTGTTGAAAAAATTTAAATGTTTGTTAGGGAGAGCTCTAATTTCTAAGTTTACTATTTGAGTTCCCATGAAGTGGGAATGAAGCATAGCGACTGCTTTATAACTATGTTTTACTGTTTGTATGAACAATACTAGAGAAAAGCTCGCCTTTTATTTGCTTAATTAATTACCATGGCATTTACTCAACTTTTGCTACAAACTCAAATTTTGCCCTTTTTTGGATTTTGGTTTTCTTTAGTTTAATTTTTTTTTTTTAAGTGCATGGTTTTAATTGCATTGTGTTATGAATATTACCATTCAGGTTATGGGGGGCACAAACTCAAAGATCATTGCAGAACTTTGAAATTGGCGGTGACAGGGAAAGAATGCCTGAACCTATTATACGTGCATTTGGTGTTCTTAAGAAGTGTGCAGCCAAGGTTGGTTATTATTGTTCTCTCCTCAAAGCAATTTACTGCACCAACATGATCAGTGCATTTTTTAAAAAAAGATTTATTTCACTTATATAAATATGCACCTTGTTTAAGTAAGATTTAAGATACCTACTTCTCTCCGAAGGAAAGGGATGAAAAACTGAAAAAGAGAATAGAACAAATATAAAAGCAAAGCTATATAAACTTATAAAATGGTAAACCTGGTAGTCAGTGATACAATTACAGCTACCTTGAAGTTAAACTGGTTCCTTTTCATTGCAGGTGAATATGGAGTATGGCCTTGAGCCATCCATAGGGAAAGCAGTAATGCAGGCTGCCCAAGAAGTTGCTGAAGGAAAACTAAATGACCATTTTCCTTTGGTGGTTTGGCAGACTGGTAGTGGCACACAAAGTAACATGAATGCCAATGAGGTACTCACTGGTTTGTGAAATTGCAGGTCCACATAATTGCTTCTTTTAACAGCATTTTCTCTTGTAAAATATCTTTTTTATGCACTAGCTTCTTGTTGGGTTCCATACTTTACTTGAAGTGTATAGAGTGATTTGTCAAATCCTTTGATTCTATATGGATCATCTTGATATTTTCTATTTACTTTTCCAATATTCTCCACGGGAGAAAATTTCTTTAAATTGCAAAAGAGTTGCATCATTTATTTTTTTGTCCGAGTATCTCATATTTCAAATATTATTATATTGTTATATAAATGTAACTTGGAATTGAGTTTACTGTCCTTTCTTGATATTCTATCTAAATTTACTTTTTGAATTAGACATTTGATGACAGAACTTTTCAATGTTTGATACATCTCTGATTAGATGACTTGTTACTGATTTTTCCAGGTTATAGCAAACAGAGCAGCTGAAATTCTTGGTCATAAACGAGGTGAAAAAGCTGTACACCCAAATGACCATGTGAACAGATCACAATCTTCCAATGACACATTTCCTACTGTAAGCATCATGCTGCAAGACTATTATACTCGATTCAACCTGCTGCATGGAATCTTCTGTTAAGATCATCATCAGTTATGACTAGCTTCTATGTGATTCACATGCAGGTGATGCATATCGCAGCTGCAATGGAGATTAATAAGAGATTATTGCCAAACCTGAAACAACTGCATACTTCACTACATTCAAAGGTAGAATACTTGCTTTTATGATGATGACTTCCTCGTGCTATCCAGAAATCTGCACTTTAATGTTCATGTTTGAATGTGCTTATTAAGGCTATTATATGATATTGCTTTGATGGTAACAATTTGACCCCTTTTTTCCGGTTTATTCAACTAGTCTGTTGAATTCAAGGACATCATCAAAATTGGGCGTACTCACACTCAAGATGCAACACCTTTAACACTTGGACAAGAGTTTAGTGGATATGCCACTCAAGTAAGCTGTCTCTGCCTTGAACATTTTCAAATGTTAAAGTTATAATGTTTGGGTTCTGAAGAATTATTATCTGATTATTCTTGAAAAATGATTTGTGATGATAGGTGAAATATGGAATTGATAGAGTATCTGTCACCCTTCCACGCATGTATCAGGTTATTGTATCTTTTGTATTCCCCACTTTTGGCCCATCTTACTTAAATGATTTATAGTTCCTTCTGATTTTAACTGGTTGGAATATCATTTGAGCAGCTTGCACAAGGAGGTACTGCTGTTGGAACTGGATTGAACACAAAGAAAGGGTAAGTACAGCAATACTTAGCTTGAAGTTGGTTAATGGTTTCCATCTGCCTTATCTCATCTTCCATTTATATTTGATAAGTGTGTCTTCACTGTTTTAGTGTTTCACATAGAGGTATTGGAAATTATATGCCATCTTTTCATTCATAGTGTATCGTCAATGTAGTCTTGCTAATTATGGTTAGGAGTGGGTATTCTGTAGTATATGTGTGGTAGTGTCTGAAGTGCCAGAGATAATCTAGCAAGGTAGTTTGGCATGAACTGTTCTAAAGTTGTTGCATTCCGCAATACTTGTTCTTTCTTTTTCTTGTGGTTGAAGTCAAGGCCAAACTTACACTTTGGGTTGTAACACAGATTATTTTATGTTATTTTTTGTAATGTTAATTATATTGTCTTCTATATCATTTTCAGGTTTGATGTGAAAATTGCTGCAGCAGTGGCAGAAGAAACAAATTTGCCATTTGTTACAGCTGAAAACAAGTTTGAAGCATTGGTAATGACCATAAAGCTTTATATATGCTTTTTTAAACTGCTAACTTTCCAACACTTATTTATTTGTGTTTCTGTAGTAAAATGTAATTAATTTATTCTGCCACTGACAGGCTGCACATGATGCGTTTGTTGAAAGCAGCGGAGCCTTAAATACAATTGCTGCTTCTCTCATGAAGATTGCAAATGATATACGTTTCCTTGGAAGGTATATTCTTCATTCAGATTGTGAATTATTTGCATATGATTGCATTTTATGGTGACTTCACTTTCTATGCCATTTGCAGTGGCCCACGTTGTGGTCTTGGTGAACTCATTCTTCCAGAAAATGAACCTGGAAGCAGTATCATGCCTGTAATAGTTCTCCTTGAATATGATAATCGAAAATATCATTGTATATGTAGAGTTTACTAATCCTTTTCTAGGACCTTACCTTATGTGGATGAATATATTTCAGGGGAAGGTGAACCCTACGCAGTGTGAGGCTCTCACAATGGTCTGTGCTCAGGTAACTAATAGTTTCATTTTCTTGTTCAGACAGATTACTGTGGATATTTATTTGAATATGTACTATGTGCTTTTCAAGGGGGCATAGCATTCTTGAATTTTTGATATCTGTCATTTTATTGTTCAACTTTCCTTCTTTCAGGTTTTTGGAAATCATGTGGGACTCACAGTGGGTGGATCTAATGGCCATTTTGAGCTGAATGTATTCAAGCCTATGATTGCCAATTCTCTCCTACATGTATGATCTATCTTACTCTATGCACCTCTTGGTACCTAAATATTTTTTTTTCATGCTTTGTTTCTTGTAGTAATAAATGCATGGCCATGCAATGTCTGTGATACAGGGTAGGATCTGATATATTGTTTGCCTTCTTGGCCTCTGTAGAGAATAGTCTTTGAAATATCACAAAGAAATTTAGAGGATGGATCTAATTAACAATCTAAATTTAGGTACTTTCTTTTGGGATGGGGACAGTTGTTTAGCCATCTCCAATTAGACCACTATAAGGCTTTGATTATCCAACCAAGTTTGGGGAGTTTATTTAACAATTGTGTGCTAGTAAGCATTATTTAACTATTTGGATATATATATACTAAAAGTTATGCTGCTATCCATCTTTGTTACTGTGTTGGGCATTGGGAAAAATGTATTTGGTGTATCTTTTGCTTAATTATGTGTACTGAATTCCACCATGCATCATCCTCCATGATCAGTCCGTAAGATTGCTTGGAGATGCGTCAGCTTCTTTTGAAAAGAATTGCGTAAGGGGAATTCAGGCCAATAGGGAAAGGATTTCTAAACTACTACACGAGGTGAGTTTTGGTTTTGAGTTTCGACTTGTAATAAAATGCTGAAATCCACAATTTGGCCGTGTTTTGTGTTTCACTCATCAAAAGCTTTACTTAATTAATGATTATCTCCTGCTGAATTTTTGCAGTCACTCATGCTTGTCACATGTTTGAACCCGGTAATGATGTTCTTTAATTTCTCTTCTTCACAAGGCCAAGCGCCTTTTCATCTCTAAAATTGTCTCCTTTTCTTTCTTTATCCCTTTATCTCACGTTGAGTTGGTGGTATTGTTAATTCCAGAAAATTGGTTATGATAACGCTGCAGCAGTAGCCAAAAAGGCACACAAGGAAGGAACTAGTCTAAAGGTGAGTTATTTCACTCTTTATTTTCTTCCTATCTTCAATATTTGCACTTACAATGAAACATAATGCTTCCTTTATTTAAACTGCAGGAAGCTGCTTGCAATTTAAGAGTGCTGACTGCGGAAGAGTTTGATCAACTTGTAGTTCCCGAAAAAATGATTGGACCGACTGAGGACTAATCTCTCCTCCTGCCTGGTTAGAGAAAATCAAATCAAATCTGGCATGAGCGGAGTGTGTCCATTTTTAGCTATGCATTCTTTTCTTCCATTGATCAATCTGAATTATATAGGAAAATAAAGGCCAGAGGACAATTTACCTCTTGGTTTCTTCTGTAACTGAGGAAATAAAATTAATTCCCATTTTGGAGGTGTTGAGGCTTTGGAGAAATTTGCAGCTCGGCATTTTACTGTGGAGGAATGAGATTTTTCATTTATTATTTTGCGTTTGATTCCCCATTCTTGAGCCTTTGTTTGATGTTTGATAGATGATCCGTTGTCTTTGTTTTACTCTACGCTCGTGGACGAAATTAGCATCTCATACACAATGCAACTAGAATGTATGTGTACATATAAATATTTGTGTGTATACACATTACACCAACACTTTTAAAAAGAAATAGAGAAATTGAATATAATTTGGTGGGGATTCAAATAATCGAAATAAGTTAAGTAATCAATTATGAAAAAATCAAGTTGTTAAAATTGATTGTCAACGATGTAATTTCAATTCTTCCCTATTTTTATTAATAAATCAAAATCTTAAGTGTTCCATTCAGTTTCAGGACTTAATTCGGACAACTCAAATGAAAATGTCTACCCCTACTCTAAACAGAAAGAGGATAAGTGATTTGAACAATCCCAACTAAGTTAATATAATTAGTGACCTATACACACAATTTTCTTGTATTAAATTTCATTGATGTAAACATGGGATCAAAATTAAGGATATATTTTGTGTGTTTGCAACGTTGAATGTGAAGAGTTTGGGTAAGAATTTGTAGGGGCAAAGTATTTCACTAATCGTACGTACACTCATCAATGCAAAGTGGAATGAAAGCTCAAAGCTGTGGGCGCCGCCGGGTTTTAGGCGGTGTAACTACATCATATCCAAACCACCAGCGCCCATTGCCTCTTTCAACCCGACATCCCACAAACAGACGACGACTCCTAGATTTTATTGTCACTTTCCCTTGTTTTTTTACCTTTACTGCATTATTATATTATTATATTATAAATGCCAGAAAGGTATTAGGCGTGATTGGTTAGCATCCAAAGTTGATAGGGAATTGAAGTAATTCATTGAACAACTAACAGTGCTTCTTACAGTAGACCAAACAGAGTGTTCTTCTAAACCTACGGCTAAAGGAACGTACACGTAAATGAACAGTAAACGTGAAAGGAAAAACGATGAAACCTAGAAGTATTCACTTAATTGGAGTTAACGACACTGCTTGGGCTGACATCATCGAAGCTCCAGAGATCTATAGAACCACCGCCAACCACCGTCTCTGGAACCGGGTTAACTTGCGCCGCCGTTGCCTCGCCGTCCAGATAAGGTATTTGGTAGAACTTCATATAGGACTCGTACACCATTAGCTCCTCGGAGAGCTTATGCACTTGGTTCTCCGCCTCCTTTATCTCTGCACCGTCATTCATCTTCACTTTGATTAAACCCTCGTTACCATTCTCTGAACCGGACCGAGAAGCCGCCGCCGCCTCTTCGCTCTGCGTACCAAATCCTATTAGAGTCCCCGCGTTGATCATTGGCTCCAAATGCAGATCAGCTTTTCCGATGGACTTGTCAAGAGGATTCCGGCGGTATCCCGGCTGCGCCGGAGGATTAAAGTTACTGTCGTCCTCATCATTGGGGAAGTTAACCTTAGCTTTTTTACCTCTGATTTTCCTAGCTTCCCTGTCGTAAGCTCTGGCTGCTTCTTCCGCCGTGTTGAACGTACCAAGCCAAACCCTAACGCCTTTTCTCGGGTCGCGGATCTCGGCAGCCCATTTGCCCCAGGGGCGCTGCCTGATTCCCCGGTACATGTTTTTCCTCTGCCGCTTCTTCGCCTTCTCAGGACTCCCATTACCTGTTTGACAAAATTCCTACTACTAACACAGAAGTTCACGTAAAAAAGGTATACATATGCCATTAAATGGGGCTAGCTAGTAATTACCTGTACATGGCTGAGACCGTTTAGTGGTGGCGGCTGATTCAGGTTGGCCGGAGAAACTCGATTTGGCAGTAGTCTGAGAACTACTGGGGCCAAAGTCAGGCCAGATGTCGGGGGAGGAGACACTGCGGCCACCATCCCTAGACCGGAATTTACGATCGAAGAGAATTGAACCGCCACACATTTTTACGCTAAAACGGGGATGAAAATGAATAATAACGTGACACCTTAGCTTGAAAGATGATGTAAAATGGATTTGGAAGAAAATGGAAGACTACTGAGGTATTTATAGAAACATTTCCTTTTACGAAATGAAAGTTACAATTTTTATTAAAAAATACTATTTAAAATCTTACTCTTAACTACTTTTACTGTTATAAGTGTTCAGATTTTAATAGAAAAAAAAAAGATAAAAATCATGATCTCCATTTTATACTAAGTAATCAAAGTAGGCATGTTATATCATAGAGTTAAAAATGAAAGTAATAAAATAAGCTGAAAGGTCTATTTGACCTTAGTAACATGTTATTAGATGTCATAATTAAATTTGGGACCTTAATGCATAAAAAGTAGCATGTTTGTGAGTTTAACTATATATTTGTGTAAAGTTGAAAGGCCTATTTAACCACCTTCACTGTGATTTTTATAGTTAATTGTTGAACAAATTCAATGGTGGAATATATCAGTGTGTCAATAGTTATGCTGGAATATATCGGTTGCACAGCATAATTTGCGATGAGTGTGTGGGGTTGGCCCAATTGGGCCCAACCCACACAAACATGAAACATCTACAAGAGAAGTATTTCAAATGTTAGGCCCATACTTAAAGACTGGTTAGCATGCTTGTAAAAAGCCTAATTGAGAGTAAACAGGCAATTTATATCGTGCACCACGGCGCACATAGCAATGTGCACCCAGACACAAAACGCGCGTGCTTTATGCTGACGTCACTCCGTTCGTCCGAATAAACCAAACCCCATTATGTGTATTCAGTTAAAAATTTATATGTATTGTGTTATGAGTTTGTGTATTCAGTTAAGAGTTTATGTGTATTATATTAATCAAATCCCATTATGTGTATTCAGTTAAAAGTTTATGTGTATTGTGTTATGAGTTTATGTGTGTTCAGTTAAGAGTTTATGTGTATCATGTTAACCAAACCTCATTATGTGTATTCAGTTAAAAGTTTATGTATATTATGTATTATGTTAGATTATGTGTATTTTGTTATGAGTTTGTGTATTCTGTTATGAGCTTATGTGCATTCAAAATAGATTTTTTTTTAACAACTTAACAAAACGACGTCGTTTTGGGAGACACGGGGCGCACAACGCTATGTGCGCCGTGATGCACGGTATAACGATTGGAGTAAACAAGCATTAAATTCCTCCAAAATTCTGTACTACTTGCCCGACATGGGCAAAATATTTGACAAGTAATGATCTCTTGATTTTCTTCATAGATTGCATATATATGTCAACTCTATGTAAGATGATAACTTAAAAGTTACATAGTTTAACAAGCTAACAATCAAACTTTATTTAAATACATAATACATGCTTTCAATTATTTTTCTTCTTAAATTTAGAATGATGTTCGTTTTTTTTAGTCTCTTTCTTTTAGGTGGCTGACTAATAACAAACGTTGGAGGTTGCGTTGAATCTTCTTGAATGTATTGGCTACTAATTGGTGGAAGCTAGATAATTATATGTGTTTTATGTTTCATATAAAGACCAATAACGATAATTAAGTCTTCCATACAACTTCTACTAAATCTAAAACCTCGTCATGATATGGTGAAAAAATGATTTGCATCTCCGATCCAATGAAATACAATAATTGATGTGGATAATTACCTGGAGTGTATACCGTATGTATAAAGCAAGTATGAGAATCATATGAAGATAAGATCAAAGGACTCTTTTGTTCAATGTTGTTCTTGAATGTTTAGAGAGGGTAGAGAGGATTCTATGTTCTAGAGAGAGAGAGAAAGAGTGGATGGAGAGGAAAAAGCCCCTAACTTGGAGGGCTAAGGCCCTATTTATAGGGTCATGGGTTGGCGGGTTGACCTTGACCCGTTGACTTGACCCAAGTAGGAGCATGGAGCATACGGGGAGCCTGAACCCGGGGTATATTTCCCATCAATAATAAACAAAAATACTATTTAGATTAAAATATTAATCCACTACACTCACCTTTTGTATAAACATCTACACAATCAATTAACATATTAAAATAACTAACTTGCATATATTACCCATTAAGGTATGAACTCAATGAGATATCCAAAAAAGTAAATTACATACAACGAAATAAAAAATATTAACTATAAACTAACACATTATACATACAATTCAATGTATCTCCAATCCTAATTAAGTAATCTTCTATTTGTTATTTTTGCTTCTCAAATTTATACTCATCAAAACAAACAAGTAGTTAAAAGGGTTTTGCGGTAAGATCGAGTAACATATATATATAAAGATTCATAAAAATAATTTGAGAAAATTTTATAAAATAATTAATATGTCATTTAATAATTTAAAATAAATTATTAATATTAACAAAATCTATAAGTAATGAATAATTGTATAGAATAATAATTTATAAATTGAATCTAAAATTTAGATATAACTAAAGGACTAAAACAACCTTTCTCCCTAAAATTATTTTTTGCTTGAATTTTAAGTAGTGGGTAGGTTGGGGACGTCAAGTACAGCAATTGGCACGAGTTAGGCAACGTTTTCTTTGCCTTTTAAGTAATTTAATATTTTGCTATAAAAATTTAGATATTGCGCCCATGCAATTCATGCGGAAAATAGTAATTTTGGCAAGTAAGTGGAAGAGTTGGGGCATGGCAGGCCATAAATAATTTGTCAAACCAACGCCCGCTTCAGACTCCTAAGATCCACACTTTCATGGCAGCCTGCGAGATTTTATAGTGATGGGAAACGTTTTCTCAACTCCATAGTCCCTACACATACAGTAAGTGTCACATCACCATCAATTTAAATTTAATTTAATGGTAGTTAGTTGATGATTCCTAGGAAAGACCCAAACACAACATTATATGTATTAACAGTCGCGGTGGACGAACGGACGGCGTTTCTTGATTAGTTATGGAGGTGATGTCGGAGAAACCGAGGTCCAATGGGGGAGATGATAATAAGAAGGGGAAGAAGAAGACGACGAAGGTGGAGTTAAGCCTAGGCAAAAATGGAGGAATTTTCATTTTGTTGGGCGGGGCGTTGGTCACGGCTCTTATTTCCTCGGCTTTCAGAAAGCACCGGAAGCCCCCCGGCGGTAAAGACGAAAGCCGCCGTGAGAGCCCGGCGGAGGAGAGCCCGGAGGCCGGGGATGAGCAGAAGAACAATATCTGTGAGGATGAAGATCCGGTGAGAAAAGGGCTTCAGTTCATTCTCTCTGATCCTTCTTCACTCACGCAGGAGCATCTGAGGTTAGTTAGTGCCCTTTCATCTGATTAATTTCAATGTTGGATTTAACTTTTTTGTGTGTTTTCAGTCAATTTGATCAAATTTTCTCCGTCCAAAGAATCAAAGACGACAGAGGAGAAGGTGGTGATTATAATGTCAGGAAGGAGATGACGGAGGAGGAGAAAGAAGAAAAAAGATCACTGAAAATCCAGGCCCCAAGTACTGAAGAACAGGATAGCCCTGCAGCAAGCGGTTGTAATCAAGAAATCATCAGCAATGGCAGTTCAATTCCAGGCAGCGCAACATCCAGCGAACAAGAATATTCATCTCACCCATTTTACACCCATCCCCTTTTCGATCAAGCAAATTCTGAGGATTTTCGCCTCACAAAGATGAATGAAACAGTTGAAGAAGAGGTGAAAGAGGTTGTGCCGGAAGAAATGGAGTGTAGTGAAAAGAATGTCAGCCCGGAAATGGAAATGGATTTGTGTGATGGGCAAGATGCTGCTATTATATACAGCAGCCCCGAGATTGAGGGAAATGATGATCAGAAGAACACAAATTCTGAACAGGTAATTATAACATCAGAAATCACCCACCCTGAATCTTGTGAAACCAATGTGCAAAACCTGGATTTAGCTGCTTTTCATGTTCCTTTGCACATTAACATCTCTAATGAACTCTCTACTACAACCAAAGAAAATGGCACTACTAATGAGCCAGAAGAAGAAGAAGAGGGAGAAGAGGTTGCTGGCAATGATGAGGAAGAAACCAACCAAAATGGCACTATTAATGAGCCAGAAGAAGAAGAAGAAGACAAGCCAATCCCAACTATCCAATTTGTTGCAGAACAACCTTGTAATGATTATTGCGAAGGTGGTGTTTCCATGGCTGATGAGAAAGCATTAGGTCAGTACTCATCCATGGATAAAGTGGGAGAAGAGGTTGCTGGCAATGATGAGGAGGAAACCAACCAAAATGGCACTACTAATAAGCCAGAAGGACAAGAAGAAGAAGAAGAAGAAGAAGAAGAAGAAGACAAGCCAATCCCAACTACCCAATTTGTTGCAAAACAACCTTGTAATGATTATTGCAAAGGTGATGTTTCCATGGCAGACGAGAAAGCATTAGGTCAGTACTCATCCATGGATAAAGAGGGAGAAGAGGTTGCTGACACTGATGAGGAAGAAACCAACCAAAATGGCACTAATGAGCCAGAAGAAGAAGAAGACAACCAAATCCCAACTATCCAATTTGTTGCAGAACAACATTGTAATGATTATTGCAAAGGTGGTGTTTCCATGGAAGATGAGAAAGCATTAGGCCACTACTCATCCATGGATAAGGAGGGAGAAGAGGTTGCTGGCAACGATGAGGGAGAAACCAACCAAAATATCGAGAAAACCCTTGGCGAAGATGACACTGCCACAGCCAAACAGCATCCCATTCTGCCATCAAATGACAAAGAGGGAGATGAAGAAACTACTGATGATGGCAATAATGAATGTGATTATGATGAAGAATATGGCTATGGTGATGGGGACGGAGATGATGACATTTCTGAGGAAATGGAAGAAAGCTCAGAAGGAGTGATATCCTCTGATGAATCTGATGATGATGGGGCAATCTGGCCAGCAGAGCCAGCACAGATCCCTTTAATGGGACTGAAAGGGCCTAAAGAAGAGATAGAAGATGACAATAGAACACTAAAATCAGAAGCCTACATAAACCTTAAAACCATCAACAACACCAAACTGCAGACAGCTGATTTAAGGATGAACACCATTCAAGCCAGTGCCAGGAAACTTGCGATTCTGGATAACCTATTCGCCTACTCGCTACAATCAAAACGAACCATTCTTGCAGGAACCCTTACATTGCTTATTGCATACTCATGCTTCTGCTACTTTGAGCTACCATTCTTGAAACCTTCTCTTGTTGTCATTGCAGCCGTGTTTTTATCTAAGGTCGTCCTAGCTGGTTGAAGAACACCCATTTCTTGAATAATTATTCACTGTTTAGTTCTTTTATTAATGCAACTGATAGAGATTTGCAGTTGCTTGAATAAAAAATTAGAAAAGTTGCTGTTTACTTCATTTATATTTTATATATATACTTATATAATGCACAACAGGGAGGCAGACAGACAGAACAATAACTGTTATTCATATAATGTTGTCCGTAGAGTACATTGAAGATAATCATTGTACAAACTGTTGATCCATAATCTTATGTAGAATTTTCTTAGATATACGCCCGCCAAGAAATCAGGAGATCTCATAATAATCATCACCACCATCATTATCATAGTCGTCGTCATCATCATCATCATCTTTATTATCATCATTATCATCATCTTTATTATCATCATCATCATCAGTTAAACCGAGATAGTATGGGATTTTAGGGTCGGTGTCGGGCAGCCAATCACCGCCGTCGATGAGATTGGCGGCAGTGAAATGTCTGGCCACTTTGGCGCGCGTGATGATTCTATATCCCGCCCATGTCACTCTGTTTAACGTATCGGCGCCGGGCCCTCTGTTCTTGTACTCCCCGTAGTAGAGAGTTGTGAGAGCAAAGTTGCCTTGCCATTCCAACCACCCGGCAGGGTCAATCAAACTGCCGATCTTTGACAGCATGAAAACAGTCCGAGAATATTGTTTCCAGGGACGTCCGAGGTAACTCTTGAAGTCGGATTCCACCGGTTCCAAATCCTCCGCCGCCGCCACTTTGCAATCCAAGATTGAAATGCCAGTGTTTTGATAAGGATCCGATCTTGATTGGGCCGTGATCACATTCTTCTGTTCGCTCATGGGTTTGCGCAGGTACAAATTGCACTTTTGGAACACCACGGCTGAGTTACCAAAAATGAAGTCCACCGTGCCGTAGACGTCACATTCCCGGAAAAATTGCCGGCGGGAATGAACGTACAGGGTGTCTTGGTACCCTACGAAGCTGCAATCGTAGAAGACAGAGTAGTCGGAGTCAGCCCTGAGTGCCACAGCTTGGTGGTTCTCCGGTCCGGCATAGTTTTCGAATGATATACCTTTTGCTATGAATCCACTTCCACCCACCGCTGCAAATCAAATGTATTACATAAAATTATATCACTTACGTTACGTTTATAAAATTGATAATGTTAAGGAGTAAAAACAAGCATTCACTATTATAAAATGGACCAGGTTAAGCACCAATCCTCCATAGGACAAATTAAAAGACCAAAATAAAGTAAATTAGTCTAAATTGTCCATGACGGATGACCTTAATTTATATAGTTAGAATATAATTAAACTTGTAATATTATTGATGGGAATTTTTTCTCGGGACAATGTGCCCGTACGATGTTCGGTAACGGGCCCCTTGAACGGGCTGAGCCCGGCCTGGCCACGATTGACCTAAAGATCGCGCTTTTTCGACCTTGTAGTGCATATCGAGCTTGACGGGAGGTTACATCAGTGGGCAGCACCGCGATACCAACGCCCTAAACTATTTAGGTTTGACGGTCTGGTATCCCGTGGCATAGTGTAGTGCGCTCAGAAGTATCAGAGCAAGTGGCCAAGGCCTCTTGGTCCCGGCCTGAACCCGTGCATGAACTCTACATGCGACACATACCGTTAGCTCGGACCTATCTCCTGGCGATTCCTATAGATACCGCATTTATTAATGTCAAGGTGGAATTTTGATTATTTCCACATGCTAGATATCAGCCAAATACACTCGTCCACTTAAATCAACAAGCACACTAGCTAGGTGCATGATCCGTACTCGAAACCGATGTATGACCATATATTGTAGTAAGTTTAACCAACTTTTAGGAGTAAAAATTTTAACTTGATTACCAACGGTAGCGGTACGAAAAGTAGGCCATCCATCTTTCATGTTCCGGTTTCCTTTAATGCGAGTTTTTCCCATGCCATCTCCGACGAACATTATCATGGTCTTCTTCTTTTCAACATCTACGTACTCATAGTAAGAACCAGCCTTAATGTATATCACAAATCTGGTATCGCTTGAATCCGGAGCTTTGAACAGGGCGGCATTGATGCTTCTAAAGTCGCCGCTACCGTCCTTGGCCACAACCATATCAGCCTTGATATCATGTTTCTTACCCTTACCCATCGGAGCTTCTAGCAGCGCCCTGTCTCTCCTCGACAGCCACTTCGGGAACCCATCTTTCAGTCCCCGGTTTTCCCGCCGGAAAGATGAAGAAAAACGGTTATCCTTTTCCTTCTTGATCTTCGTGAGCATGGACAGAGCATTGCTGACATGGCGAGAGATTTGTTCGACGCGTTTGATTATGAAGGGGCGCACGTTCTTATTGCTGTTCGGAAAGCCGTCGAGACAGGTGTACTGGTTGGTCATGGCGGTGCTGAGAAGTGTCTGCAAGTCGGCGTGGCGCTTCGCCGGAGAATTCTCGAGACCGTCGAGGACTGTCCGGAGATCCGCCAACGCGTCGGAGAACAGTTCCAGGCAGACGTGGAGAGCGCGCCTCTCCATCGTTCCCAGGTCGGGAACCACCCTCCGGATGCGGCTGCAGTTAGCGGCGGCTGTTTTAATCTCCGACACGGTGACATTCACGGTGGCGGAGATTATTTCGGGGATAGATTTGGCGCGAAGATCGGGGGTTTTCACTAAGGTTGACACGCAGAGATCTCGGTAGAGGCTGTGATCACAAGCTGAATGGGCAACCTGATGAATGTCGTGTGAGGTTGTCGCGTTCATGGCGGAGGATTGGAAGACTGTTAAAGACAAGAACGGCGCTAGTAGCACGACAGGAACCAACATTATGGGATTCCGTCCGAGGTTATCCATTTCGATGAGTACTATGATATGATAGCCAAACTGAAGATACCGGGCGGGAAATATATATAAGTAGCTAGGCTGTGTGATAACTGATAATTAACTAGCTTGTAGAGTATGATAACTAACCAAGTGGCAGTTACGTAGCAATAGGATGAAACCCTTGTTCAACTTGCATGGAGCGGTTAGGAATGAGGACCATGAAGCATATACGTTAAATTGCATTTAAAGATTGATTAGTATAAAGTGGACGTCTATTTGGTTGGAGTTATCATATCAGCTACGCAGACTAACGGCGTCCGACACAACTCTTAGGGGCCGTTTGGTTCACGGAAGGCTAGATTACCTTAGGAATGTTAGATTGCTGGGAATGTTAGATTACTGGGAATGTTAGATTCCTGTGTTTGGTTAAAATTGAGGCATGTAATATAATTATGTTTGGTTTAGGGTTATCTTATCTTTTATATATATATATATATATATATATATATATATATATATAAGCTAACATAAAATATATATCTTTAAATAATTAGAATTAAAATGACAAAATTCATAAATATGCAAGGTTATCCTACATTACCTAACAAAATGAAGGGAATCACATTCCCTTCAAAATCCTATGTGGAGGGAATGTTGCATTCCCTGGGAATGTTATATTCCCTCAGAGAAAATGAACCAAACATAGGAATGTAAGCTCGGGAATGTCACATTCCCTTGGTTATATAATATAACCTGAACCAAACGCCCCCTTAAGGTTGTTAATTAACGTGACACTACTAAAAAATCCTCACGTCTTGAATAACATTGTAAAATTACAATCGTTATATCCTACACCACGGCGCACATAGCACTGTGCGCCGCGCGCCTCCCAAAACGACGTCGTTTTGGGGTAGTGTTGGGAGGCGCGGTAGGAAGTTGCTGAGATTATGTGTATTTGTTCACAACGTTATGTGTATTAGTTCATACAGTTATGTGTATTTTTTATACAATTATGTACATTCTTTTTATACAATTATGTACATCCGAATCAGAAAATTTGTGTGTATTATGTTAAGAGTTGATGTGTATTATGTTAAAAGTTTATGTTTATTATGTATTATGTTAGATTATGTGTATTATCTTTTAAAAAGAGTATGTATATTTTGTTATATAATTATGTACATTCATGTATAACATTATGTGTATTCTAGTATAACATTATGTACATTCTTGAACATTGGATTTTTTTTTTAAGAAAAAACTACTGCCATTCACTGGGGCGGGAAATTTAAAAAAAAAAAATAATTAAAACGACGTCGTTTTGCATCTGGGCGCATAGTGCAACGCGCACCGTGGTGTAGGATATAAATTGCCGTAAAATTAAAGTAATACGTAATTGAAATTAAAATTCTAACTACTATATTGGTCTCAGGGAGTTGGACCCATTAGGTGTAAACCTTATGGCCCATATTGTGAATTAAGTTCATGAGCTGAATCTCAATTGGGCCTTCAACAATCTTTTGCTAAATTTGCTTGTATAACTCATATATTTTAGTTATTGAACCGTATTATGAGGTAATTAAGAATACAAAGTTGTAATTACTTCAAAAATAATATGAAGCATGATGGGATATGGACCCGAGCTCAGCACAATGAAATGATAGACAAGGAAACTGGCAGTCAAAGGGATAGGAGAGGGTACGATTGGAGGAGTCAGACTATCCATTTCAAAACCAATGGGTATTAGAGGAACTCTGGTTTGTATGCCGGATGGGAGTGTTAGTCAGTCCACCTTAAGAGGTTGAGCGGCTCAATTAGTCAGGCAGTGAGAACAAGCAGAATGGTTGGTGAGGTCAATCAGATGGAAGGATAGAGCGGATGCACAAACCAGTCTTGCAAGAGTTGAGGAGGATTGACCGCGTAACGGGAGGAGTCATGATGTTATCACATCTTTGCTTGTTTTTATAGTTATTTTGAATCATCTCGGTAATTAAGTTCTTTAATTTTACTTATTTAATACATATTTTCCTTGCTATTATCATTTAATTATGGTTCACACTTGTTTTGAATGTTTTACGGTGTTTGTTAGTGTTTTTGATCCATTGTAGGTCAATTCTATGAGCAAGGGAAGTTCAAGGATGAGTTTGGAGCAATTTTGGACGAGTTCGGGGACCAGAAGGCTCGACGCGTCGAAAATTTCCAGAATATTTTGGTGATCGGGACCTGCTGGTCTCGACGCGTCGAGACTCAGCTCGACGCGTTGAGCGAAGGCGCGGAAATCAGAAGCAAAAGGGGCAATTCTTTATTTAAATATAGGAATTATAATTTGAGTCCAATTTGGTACAAGATTCCTATTTCATCTCAACTTTGTACCCACTATAAAATCCCTCCTTCCTCAACCCTAATAGGGGAGACGGAGAGAATTCAGAGATTCTTGGAGACAAGAAGGAGAGAAATCAAGAGCCACAAGTTGTCTTGGAAAGCAAGAAGAAGACTAGGGAGATTTGGGAAAATTGTCTGGTTAATTCTTGTACTCTTTTGATGATTTGTAATTCTTTATTTATATTTGCTATGTATAATTTAGTCATGCTTGGCTAAATTCTTTAGAGATTCTTGGGTAAAAGTGTTTATGAACCTATGTGCCTGAGCTCTCAGTTTCTTTAATATATTATTATTTGGGTTTAATACTTGTGTTGCAATCGTGATAATATTGTTTGATGTTTGTAATTAATGGCCATAGTTACTAGCTTCATAGCCATGTTTGTGTCACCAATGGGAGTTGGGGCATAAATTAGGGCACACACGATTGCACCTAATGGTTGGTCCTTGGGAAAGGGGATCTTATTAGGGGAAGTTTATTCTAGATTATTGCTCATCGGGAGATGGTAGTAATTAGGAATAATTGAATGCTGATCTTTGATCTTATTGGGTGTTTAAGCCATGGGAGTGGAAATTCACTAGGAATAGAGATTACGGGAGTAATTCGATTCCACTTTGCATTCCCACACAAATCTTAATTCCAAACTAAATATTGCAAACGATAATTGGCACTAGGTGATTAAATACTTGAATCCCATGAATCTCAACTTCTCTCTAATTGTTTTCAAAATCCTGAACCTCTGTTTTATTTTATTTATTTTATGCCAATCAATCATCTAAGTAATTGTTATGATTAGCTCTAATGAATAAGTTAGTAACTAGTGCTTGATACAACCACTTCCCTGTGGATCGATAACTCGTACTCCGAGAATTATTTGTTTGCAAATATACTACGCATCAAGTCACCTGGAAATGACAATAGGAAGGGTAATCTGAGTACTCGGCAGGTGAGCAGTAATGAGACAATCAGTGTAGAGTTAATAGCAATGATGAGATCGGCCGTTGTGGAAGGCGATTCGTCGCAAAGAAGACGGGAAGCCGACATAAATTCTCATGATTGAAGGCATTTATAGCTTCATTTATGACGACATTAATGATAGGCGTAGCATTTCATTCTTCCTAGCATGTATAAAAGGCATGAGAAAGCTCTATAGCAGTGGTTAAACAATTTGAGTATACACGAATGATTGAAAGTAAAACACGATTTTCTGGCAAAGAACATTGAATTTTCCGATAGTGTTGGCCTGCTAGCTGATTGCTTCCGTTATCACGAAACCAACAAATCACATCTACTATTTGAGAATGAGTACGGAATTGAATAAATTATGTGTGATGTAATCAATCAAGAAAGTGTTATTAAGAATCAAACTTACAATTATTTGATATGATTCATATATCCACTTCATTTTTGGTGTAAACTAAGAGGTGGTGTGGGTCTTTTAACGGTCCAGGTTCACCCGATTAGTCCCCATTCGCTTCGAGAAGCACAGGAGCCGACCCAAACGCAATCGTCAGTTGTAGGAATCGAATACAGGTTATCCCGGAACCTAGTTAATATTTGATTCAAAATATTCGGTGTGATTGTGAGCTGATGTCCCTGTCAACTACGTGAAATACATTTCACTATCATTTGCTGTAAAATCATTCCACGTACAAAGAATAGCCACCGATACATTATGGAAAAATACACATTCCAATCCCAAACCCATTTTTACGTGGTTCCACTTCATGCAAATTATTATTATAATATAAAAACATAATAAGTTTTAATCTAAGGTATATATTTGCTTTTTGTCTGTTTTTTCTGTTAAATTTTTATAATGTTATAATGGTTATACTACACAATTTTGTAGACAAAAATATCTCTACCTTTATAACTTTTGTTATCTTTTTTTATTATATTATTATTATTACAGTGCGCACATACACAATATTTTTTCTTATATTCTTCAAAAGTAATAATGTATATAGACATGCTATTATAAGAAATAAGTTTGATTTTATTATCCTCTACAAGTTGCACATGAACGTAACTAAGTACGATGTCAGGAAAACTAAACCAATATATTTCCAAAATATATATATATATATATATATATATATATATATATATATACTAGTAATTGTCCAGTGCGATGCACAGACTATTATTAATTTAATAAATTTATCAATTAAATTTTTGACATACTCTAAATTAGCAAAGAAATTAATGGCCGTGGAAACATAAAAACTTACCTGAGTTCTTCCGCTCCCAGAAATATTCATCTTCCCTAGATCGCACGGTGTAAAGCTCTATAAGAGATCTAAGCTCCCAAAAATATTCTTCTCACTATTCTAGTCACGATCATCCTCCTAATTCCAACCACGACAAAAACATAATTGTAGTATTATATTGGTTGTGGATGATGACTTATTTATAATGTTGAAGTAGGTGTAGATGTTCATGTAAATATTGAAACATGTGGTTATTGAAATGTAATACTTTTGAAGGAAAATATAATACTTAATGTAAAAGTATTACAATATTCATAAAAAATTATTACATTTTTATTTATAAGTAACAAACACTTGCCAACATTACTTATAATATGCCCAATCAACAACCAGGGCTCTGATACCACTTTGTTGGGAAAAATCCCACTTCCTGTGACAATGAAAATCACAGAACCCGACACGGTCCACAAATACGAGATAACACAAAAGCCCAAAATAAATAACAACGGAAGGGACACCAAATTTACGTGGAAAACCCCAAAACCACGGGGAAAAACCACGGACCACCACCAACACAATATTTCAATATAACAAATCTTTGGTACAAAGTTGCTGGCTACCACCCGAGCCAAACACCCTAAAAATCATCAAATACAACAACTAGGCCAAATACAATATATCACGTTCACGGGCCTAAAAGGGATACCAACTCGTACTCAAAAATATTCAACCACCACGAACAAGGTGAAAAGAATACAAATATTACGAGCTTACCCAAAACGATGATGCCTGGAACAAACACTGACCTCTACAAATATTTGATGAAGAAAAGTACCCCAAAGATCTTCGGCAAACCTCACGACAAATCCATCAGACGTGTGACAAAACCTGCCGACACACGCCACCGTCGTGCCACCAAAGAAGCTAGGCAAACCCACGACAAAGTAGCACAAAAGGAAGAAGAAATAGATGTTGCTCCTTCAACTGCTGCATACGGCCGTGCAAAGAGAAAGAAAGAAAACTGAATTTTTCTTTCTTTTTGGCCTACTGCTTCTGCCGAAAAAATACAAAATGGAATATGTGTAGTATGTAGAAGTGTCTGGTGTAGTGGTGTAGTGGTGTAGTAGTGAGGAAACAATGAATTCTCCCTCCTTTTATAGATGCTGGCAACCACCTTGGGAAATGAAGAAAGCTAATTAATTCCTCAACTTCCTACCATAAACCTTAGAAAATCTCCTCCCATAAACCTTAGGAAACCTCTTCCCATAATCCTTAGGAAATCTCCTCCCATAAACCTAGGAAACCTCTTCCCAAGTTCCCTTAGGAAATCTCTTCCCAAGTTCATCCCAAGCAAACTTCTGCCCAACAACTTCATCCCAACATCCACTCTTTAACTTCTACCCAATAACCCATTCTCCAATCCAAATAATTGTCGGCAAACTTTTCCATCAAGCTAACAAATATTGCAGTGGAATAGGCTTGGTCCCAAATGAGCTATTTACCACATATGAGGGAAGCCCAACTCAACACTTATAAGGGAAAATATTTTTTTTTTTATCAAAATATAAAAGCATTACATGCCTCCTCAAAAGTACTACGTTTTTTATAAGTAACAACAACTTTATTTGTAATTAGTAATATATTTTTTAATATAAGTATTACATTTATATATTGACTTGATCCGACTTGAATTGTCACACGAATAAAGATTTGTGTGACGGTCTCACAAAAGTATTAACATATAATTTATTGGGGTGCTATGCAAATGGTAGAAAACCAACAAACTTCAATTGAAGTTGCACGGAGAAGACTTGGACGACTTTGCTTCTCATTTTCCAAATCAACCGACAGGGACGACCTTAAATTTGAGTCGGAAAAAAGTTACTTGGAAAACTGGATATCGCGTTAAAGACCCGGTGTCCTCGTTCCGCTTCTTCCCAGTCATCGCTGAGAATTTTTCTTCTTTGTTTTTTTTAAACCGGGATAGTATGGGATTTTAGGGTCGGTTACGGGCAGCCAATCTCCGCCGTCGATGAGATTGGCGGCAGTGAAATATTTGGCCACTTTGGCGCGCTTGATGATTCTATACCCCGCCCATGTCACTCTGTTAGACGTATCGGCGCCGGGCCCTTTGTTCTTGTACTCCCCGTAGTAGAGAGTTTTGAGAGCAAAGTCGCCTTGCCATTCCAACCATCCGGCAGGGTCAATCAAACTGCCGATCTTTGACAGCATGAAAACAGTCCGAGAATATTTTTGCCAGGGACGTCCGAGGTAACTCTTGAAGTCGGATTCCACCGGAATCAAATCCGCCGCCGCCTTCACTTGGCAATGCAAGATTGAAATGCCAGTGTTTTGATGAGGATCCGATCTTCCTTGGGCCGTGATCACATTCTTCTGTTCGGGCAGGGGTTTGCGCAGGTACAAATTGCACTTTTGGAACACCACGGCTGAGTTACCAAAAATGAAGTCCACCGTGCCGTAGACGTCACATTCCCGGAAAAATTGCCGGCGGGAATGAACGTACAGGGTGTCTTGGTAGCCCACGAACCTGCAATCGTAGAAGACAGAGTAGTCGGAGTCAGCCCTGAGTGCCACAGCTTGGTGTTTCTCCGGTCCGGCAGAGTTTTCGAATGATATGCCTATTGCTATGAATCCAGTTCCGACCACAGCTGCAAATAAAATGTTTTACATACAATTATCTCAGTTACGTTACGTTCATAATATTGATGATGTTAAGGAGTAAAAACAAGCATTCACTATTCGAAAATGGATCAGGTTAAGCACCAATCCTGCATATCCGGGCAAATTAAAAGACCAAAATAAAGTAAATCAGCCTAAATTGTCCACATGACCTGAATTCATATAGTTAGAATTAAACTTATAATATTATTGATGGAAATTATTCTCCAATGTGCCCGTACGATGGTCAGTAATGTGCATACCAAGCTTGACGGGAGGTTACGTTCGTGGGTAGCATCGCGATACCGACACCCCGACCTATTTAGGGCGGACCGACCTACTGCCTACTGGTACCTCGTAGTGTAGTGTAGTGCGCTCAGAAGTATCAGGACACGTGCCCAAGGCCCCTTGGGCTCCGGCCTGGACTCCTGCATGAACTCCTCATGCTGCACATGCAGTTGAGCTGGGACCTATCACCTCCCGACCCGTATAAATACCACATTTAGTTATTTCGACAGGTTAGCTATCAGTTTGGGAACCTCTAATCCATTGCCAAGTACACTCTTCCACTTAAATCAACAAGCACACTAGCTAGGTGCAGGATCTAAACTCGAAACCGACCTATGACCTTATATTGTAGAGAATACCTCTGTATATACTAGATCAATTATGGTTATCAAGTTTAGTTTAACCAACTTTTAGGAGTAAAATCTTTTAACTTTATTACCAACGGTAGCAGAACGAAAAGTAGGCCATCCATCTTTGACGTTCCGGTTTCCTTTAATGCGAGTTTTTCCAATGCCATCTCCGACGAACATTATCATGGTCTTCTTCTTATCAACATCTACGTACTCATAGTAAGAACCAGCCTTAATGTGTATCACATATCTGGTATCGCTTGAATCCGGAGCTGCTGACAGGGCGGCATTGATGCTTTTAAAGTCGCCGCTACCGTCCTTGGCCACCGTAACATCAGCCTTGATTTTACGTTTCTTCTTACCCGTCGGAGCTTCTAGCAGCGCCCTGTCCCTCCTCGACAGCCACTTGGGGAACCCATCTTTCATTTCTCCGTGTTCCTGCCGGAACGATGAAGAAGAATAGGAAGGCCCTGTTTAATAAATAGTTGTTTAATAAATAGTTGTTAGCTGTTTGATAAATTAACTATTATAATTATTTGGTATAAATTTTTTTTTAAAAGTTATTAAAAAAATTGTTTTAAATTACTAACAATTAATTATGATCAAATATGTCAAAATTAAATGATAGCCTAATTATTTTACCAAATAGGGCGGAAGGCTTATTCTTTTCTTTCTTGATCTTGGTGAGCATGGAAAGAGCGTTGCTGACATGGCGAGAGATTTGTTCGACGCGTTTGATTATGAACGGGCGCACGTTCTTATTGCTGTACGGAAAGCCTTCGAGACAGGTGTACTGGTTGGTCATGGCGGTGCTGAGGAGTGTCTGCAAGTCGGCGTAGCGCTTTGCCGGAGAATTCTCGAGACCGTCGAGGACTGTCCGGAGATCCGCCAACGTGTCGGAGAAAAGTTCCAGGCAGACGTAGAGAGCGCGGCTCTCCATCGTTCCCAGGTCGGGAACCACCCTCCGGATGCGGCTGCAGTTAGCGGCGGCTGTTGTAATCTCCGACACGGTGACATTCACGGTGGCGGAGATTATTTCGGGGATAGATTTGGCGCGAAGATCGGGGGTTTTCACTAAGGTTGACACGCAGAGATCACGGTAGAGGCTGCGATCACAAGCTGAATGGGCAACCTGATGAATGTCGTCCGAGGTTGTCGCGTTCATGGCGGAGGATTGGAAGACTGTTAGAGACAAGAACGCCGCTAGTAGCACGACAGGAACCAACATTATCGGATTCCGTCCGAGGTTCTGCATTTCGGAATCTATAGTACTGTGATATGATAGCCAAACAGAAGATACCGGCGGGAAATATATATAAGTAGCTAGGCTGTGTGATAACTGATAACTAACTAGCTTGTAGAGTATGATAACCAAGTGGCAGTTACGTTGCAATAGGGTGAAGCCCTTGTTCAAGTTCTCCCAAAAGGTTAAATCCCCATTCCTAAGGGCACCCCACCCTCCGACCCGACAAAACATGTGGCAGGATGCAAATCACGGTAAATTAATGGTTTAACTGACAGGGCCAAATGTTGATGTGCATAAGAAATTTGTCTACTGTCTACTTTAGACATAATTCCCACACTACAACGGCCTTTGTTCAACTTTTTTTTTTTTTTTTGAAAGTGGTCCTATTACATTGTAGTATCTGTTCATATACTTTCTCAACCTGCTGAAACACAAAGAACCAATAACGCCTTCTCAACCTGCTGAAACACAAAGAACCAATAACGCCTCCACTGAGGCTCGAACTCATAATCTTCCAAATGGAAATCCAACCCGGGTACCATTAGACCACATAGTCCTGGTGGCCTTTGTTCAACTTAATTGCATGTAAAGATTGATTAGTATAAAGTGGACGTCTATTTGGTTGTAGTTATCATATTAGCTACGCAGACTAACGGCGTCCGACACAACTCTTAAGGCTGTTAATTAACGTGACACTACTAAAAAATCCTCACGTCTTGAATAACATTGTAAAATTAAAGTAATACGTAATTGAAATTAAAATTCTAACTACTCCTTATTTCCTTTTTCTTTTTCGTGGTCTCGGGGAGTTGGACCCATTAGGTTTAAACCTTATGGCCCATGCCATATTGTGAATTAGGTCCACGAGCTGAATCTCAATTGGGCCTTCAACAATCTTTTGCTAAATTTGTTTGTATAACTCATATATTTTAGTTATTAAACCGTATTATAAGGTAACCCATCAAGAATACGAACTTGTAAGGGTAAGTATCAATTTTGGTCTCACGAGTATTAGCAAAATGACAATTTTGGTTCATATATTTAATTCTTACCAATTTACATTTATAACTATTATTTTACTATCAATTTTCATCCACGACTATTGATTTAGTACCAAAAATCATCACACCGATCGCCCCTTTCATTTAAGATATGCCTAAATAAAAAATTATGAAGGGTATTTTAGTATTTTTAATTAAGATACCAATTTGAGCATGAACAAATGAATTTAAGTCCTAAGATCAATTTCAATTTGTTGTTTTCCTCCCCAAATTAAGGTAGGATGAAGAGGAGAATTGCGAATTGGATCGATCTTAAACCTCTTTATTCATGCTCAAATTGGGATCTTAAGTTGAAAAAGACAAAAATACTCTTAAAATTTTTAGATTTTTGCATGTTTTAAACGGAAGGTTGACCGGAGTGATGAATTTTGACACTAAAACAATAGTCATGGATGAAAATTAGTACTAATATAAAATAATAGTTGTGGACGAAAATTGGTAGAAATTATACATGTGGACTAAAATTGTCATTTTATTAATACTCGTAGGACCAAAAATAGTATAATTTGCTCAACTTGTAATTACTTCAAAAACAATATGAAGCACATCTATTATCCCAAAATAAGCATGAGATTGGATAAATCATATGTGTGATTAAATCAATTAAGAAAGTGTTATTAAGCCTTTCAAATAAAAAAAAAAATGTTATTATTAAGAATCAAATTTACAATTTTTTGATATAATGGGGCGTAGTTGGTTAATATTTGAGTCAAAAAATTCGGTGTGATGTGAGGTGATGTCCCTGTCAACTACGTGAAACATATTTCACTATCATTTGCTGTAAAATCATTCCACAAAGAATAGACACCGATACATTATCGAAAAAATACACATTCCAATTCCAAACCCCTTTTTACATGGTTCACTTCATGCAAATTATTATTATAATATAAAAACATAATAAATTTTAATTCATGTTATATCTTTGATATTTATCCCTTTTTTTTTTGTTAAATTTCTGTATACATCATGTTAAAAGAATTGTACTATACAATTTTGTGGACAAAAATATCTATACCATTATAATTTTTGTTATCTTTTTTTCATTATATTATATATTACTACCATGCACATACATACACACCATTTTTTCTTATATTATTCAAAGGTAATAATGTATGTAAACATGCTATTATATAATAAATAAGTTTGTTTTCATTAAATGTTAATTAAATTTTACGATAATTTTATTTAGTAATATATCATATCTACAATTTTTATTTTAATAACATTATTTATACCATACCATAACTATTACTCAAAGTATCAACTCTACTTTTATTTAATATAATATGAATTCTACAACTAAATTAAAAAAAAAATTATATGGTATAATTAAAAAATATATATATATTAACATTTAGTATTAATATTAAGCACATATTTTTACAAACAATCCTACATATAAATACTAATATATGCATACATATTACAGCAAATGATGATTATGAATTTAATTGCACCGAGTAAAAGGGTAATATATCTCCTTTTTTTTTTTCAAGAGAATAGTTATTATTGTTTGCTAAAGTATATATTTTAATTTTGGGGGGGGGGGGGGGGGGGGGGAGAGAAAATGTCGATTATTAGACTAAGACCAGTAGCCCAGTTAATTAAACTTGCCTTTTGGTTTCGCTTTTTGACTCATCATTGCATAATTTTGACCCTTTAATAGTCTCTTAAAAGATTTGTAAATTAAAACTAAACGTGAATTAAGCTTAATTGTATAATTAATTATCAAGTTAACTGTGAAGTTGTCCCATTTAATTATTCTTAAACTTTATCTTATGAGTAACATGCATTTAGTTATTCTAAAAAACCACATTACAAAATGCTAATTGGGAATCACTTATAAAATCGCATAGTAAAAATTAATATATAGAATATATATTTTTGTATTATGATTATTAAATATATGATCATGTTACTTTAGTACTTAGAATATGTCACCATATATATAGAGAACATTTAATTGAAGTTTAAACATTTGAAAACGTAAAAATAATTGAAGTTATATATATACGTATGTTGTAGCATGCATAAATTAAACTAAAATAAAAATTGAGCATAAATGTTACTTGGTATAATAAAAGTATGGGTAGTAGCCTGAAACATCTTCAACTTGCCATTAATTTGACTGATTCTTCGTTATAAAAATACGAGTTGCACATGAACGTAACTGAGTACGATGTCAGGAAAACTAATCAAATATATTCATGCAATGCATAGTTGTAATTGACTTTGATTGTCAGGCACCCCTTTCTTGCAGGGTGCTCGCTAACCCACGGGGCAACGGATATATACAGCAAGAAGAAATAAAACGATTAAGTGTATATATATGTGGATCACCTTGTGATCGAATGACATGAAGTGACTTCCTTAAGTAGAATGTCATGAGTTTGAGCCCTAGTCTTACATTGTAAATAGTTAGTAGTAGTAAAAGAAAAGTCTGTGTGTGTATATATATATATATATATATATATATATATATATAATTAAGTTCCCGTGCAGTGAGTAATGTGCGTGAGTTTTGTAGGTGTATGGGTTTTGTGCTTAAGGTGCGTGAGTTTTGTACTTAAAGTGCGTGCGTTTTGTGCTTAAGGTGCGTGAATTTTGTGCTTAAGGTGCGTGTGTTTGTGTTCTTAAGGTGCGTGAGTTTGCTTTGTTTCTGTGCTTAATGTGCGTGTGTTGTGTACTTAATGTCCGTCAGTTTAATGCTTAATGTGTGTCCACCCGCACAACCGCACGGGAAACCCTCCCCACACTTGATCCCTTCCCTATATAAATATATATTCCTAGTAAGAAACATTTGCCAAAATTATTTATGATGTACTTTTTGTTTTCCCTTATAATTAATAAATTAAACACTTTATTTATGATTAGTATTATAGTTATCAGTATAAGTATTACATTTGCACATTGGCTCGATCCAATTCCGACTTGTTACACGGAAAAAAATTCGTAAAATTATCTCAAGTGTGACTCCATAATTTCTTAGGGTGTTATGCAAATTGTAGAAAGCCGACAAACTTCAATTGAAGTTACACGCAGGAGACTTGGACGACTTTGCTTCTCATTTTCCAAATCAACCGACGGGGAGGACATTAGATTTGAGTCGGAAAAAAGTTACTTGGAAAACTCGATATCGCGTTAAAGACCCGGTGTCCTCGTTCCGCTTCTTCCCAGTCATCGCTGTTTGTCGGTGTTTTTTTTTTTTTGTTTTTTTTGTTTTTTTGTTTTTTTGTTTTTTAATTTTTAAATTGTACAATATAATGCAAGGTAACTTTTGCTTGTCTATGAGACACTGCTTTGATATATGAGAAAATATGCAATTGCTTCCTACTATTTGAAGGTGAAACTCACTTGGTAATTATAATTTATCAGTAGAAAAGTATAAGAAGGCAAATCATGATTAGTTATTTATAATTAATTAGTTCAAATTGAAAATGCCAATATAACTATATATATTTAAGGAGTTGAACTTAATATTTCATTATTACGAAGTTAATTGTCTAATTAACTTGACTGAAATTGTCATGAGACTTGTTAAATATTACCATACACAACACATTATGAGTCTTTGAAATATATATTATTGACAACAAATTTAATAAACAAATTTCAATTTTCCAATACAAATTAATAAAAGTAAGTAAACATACAAAATATCCAATTACCAATTTTTACATTTTGATAATGTGCGCGTGTTTATTCTTCATTGTTCTAAATTGTCATGACCCCCTCCCCCCACCCACCCCCAAAAAAATAGATAAATAAATAAAATTGAGAACTGCACCAAATAACACACTCCCTAGTACAAACCAACTAAAACCATTTAAAAAAAAAATTTGTATAGTCAAAGCCCCCGTTGTCTGGGTTCAAGAAAAAATATATTAGAATTTCTGTTACCTATACATAGACACTATTTTTATATTTATAGAAACTAGGGTGGAATTAGAATTTTGTTTAGGAAATCGTATATGTTAGGTGGGTGTGGTAATACACTAATGAACTTGGAAATACACTAGTGAGGTCGAAAATACACTTGTGATCCTCCTGAAATCGGGACGTGCACTTATGAGAACTGGAAATATACTTGTGAACGCCATATGACAAGTAGGGTTTCCCTATAATCCTATTACCGATAAAGAACTATGAATATTTCAAAAAAAATCTAACTAGCTTGGTTGGTGTGAATGGCCGTGC